TTTAAGTTAAAACAAAGGTTTCGGTTTAAAGTATGCACTTTTTTGTAAATTTGGAGGTCGATTTTGCGCAAATATACTGTGGATGGCGTAACCAGAGTTGGACTGATGAGGTTATTTTCACTAGCGCGGCCGAAGGATACCAACACGGAAACGAGTGCCTACTGCTGATGGCTTAACACGAGTTTAATTTTTCTTAGCAAAAATTATAATTTTACCCCATTTTGAAATGGGCTCCCGAGTGTCTGTAGAAGGGGCAGGGAGGCGAAGGGTGAATTTTCTTAAAGTTTTTACTGTTCTCTTTCTAATAAGTTTTTGATGACACACACCTTCCCCTTCCGCTCCCCACCAAAAAATCATTTTACAAATAACCGAACATTTCCCACGCACAACATTAAACCCTCTGATGTATTGTTTCATTGATATCAATGTGGCAAGGTAGCTCATAATTTTGTACAATTTATGAAACTTCAAAAACTTATTTTTTGTCAAAAATTTTTAAATGAAACTAACTTCTTTTTGTATAATGTGTTGTACAAAAACACATAAAGAAATATTCACGAACCCACTGGGAAAATAGGTAAACACCTTAAGAGGTAAGCCATGTTTTCTTTCAGTTTTTAGTACCAAAATTGTCTTCATGGCCAATGTCATCTACTAGTAAAGCACAAAATGAACACTTCCGACGACACATTACGTTGTTAGTTGCAAAATAACGTGCACCCGAAGTTATTTTCATGCGCCGAACTACTCCAAGCGACTGCTCTGCCTTACATGTAACTTACTTTGTAAAGCGGCTCAGAAGTATGTCTGATACCAAATGTACATTGTAAATTCCTACTTACATAAGTGGTGGCTTTGGCAGATCTGAAGCCACACAGGTAAGGCGCAATCAGTTCGTTGACGAACTGAATAGCTCGGCTTTTCATCAGCATAATCGCTATTCGTACCTCGTCATAGTCAGGCGCTGGGATATCGACTCCACCGGCTCGGGCCCTATCTGGTATTATTGAGCAAATGTGTCTTCAAATACATTCATGTGATCGGATAACATGACAACAACATCTGCCCTATCTGCTTTAAAAGAACGAAACGGCATATTTCTTCGTAAGGACTCGGGTTTCGGTTTTTTGGAGAAATGTGCTCAGATACCTCTGTAACCTCTATAACCATTGCTCGTAAAAAAAATTTAACCAAGTCTACCACTATGTTACTCCCTTCTTCTTCTCCTCTAACGCACCCGAAAGAAGAGAGCGATCTGCTCTGGTATTGCTTCAAAAGACCCAGGGAACTTGGTATCGTTAAGAAGGCTTGTATCCTCTGTATTGAGGAATACTCCCGCTTTTCGATAGAATTTTTCGATCGCCTCTAGCCTGAAGGTTTGAGTTTAAGTCGAAAGGGTTTTCCGATCTTTTCTGGTGCGATAGTTCAACGAGATGCCAGACTCGCGCTCGTCGAGGAAGAGTTGGAGATGATATGCAGCCATCAAAATTGCTCACACATTATAAATACACATGCATGTTGTAAATATTTTATACTCACCAAGCGTTTGAACCACAAGAAAATAACAATTTGTAAATGTTTGGTTTTTGGACGTTTATTTCGTTTCAATTAAAATGTTAGATTAGCAACTACCGGTTGAAAACTTTTACTTAATATGAAACGATTGTAAGACAATGCGAACATAATATTCGGGATAAGAACTAGACCTGAGTGGGGCGAAGAGTAACTAAATTTAAGTGTATATTCTTTTACAAATGCATAGTATAAGTCTAGACTATTTGATTTACAGAGAAGTGTACATAGTCATTAGATATATTTCTGTACTTACGAAATATTATGTACATATGAATGTATATTTACCACGATGTATAGAACAAAGGTGGCACCGTCCATGGTACCGCTCTTTTGAAAATCCTCAAACAAAAGGAAACAACACCTCAGAAACTTTAGATGCACTGAAATTCACTAATACTTTCCAAAATTATTAATTCTTTTTATAAATCAAATTTAAAATCAAATAATTTTACAATTTGATACAATTAAACCAAGTTTCATATCGAAAAATTTTTATTAAGAAAATTCCCTGTTTTGACAAATTCTTTTATCCTATTCGGCTTTGTCTACTTTTACCTGAGAAAATTCATCGCCGCCAGGACGGCACAATCTTGTATTCCTCAATTCTCGTATATTTACGAAGGTTTTATTGAGATCTCACTATGGTCAGAAAGAGTGAGTTGCAACGTTTAAATGTAATTTTTTTATTTTGTTTAAAGCTCAGTACACTATAAAATTTGAATATATGTATGTACATATGTACTTACAGGCCAACAAATTATTTCTACTGCTTTCTTAAACTATACATATGTACATATATATGTATGTAGTTACACGTACGTATTTGGCACTTTTGACTTGCCATTCATCCATTAATGGCGCGTTCTCTTCTATTTGCTATGGATCTTAGGTAGTTGATAAGGGTGAATCTCTCGTGAAACTTAATTTTATTAAACATAAAACATTTCAATATTGTTACTAACTAAAGCTGAAATTAGTCGAGAACGTAGAACGTGTACTTAAACGCAGTCTGTATACGCAGAATTTTGTCGATTACTGGAGCCCTCAGTGTTGCTTACTACACTGTTGCCACTCTTCAATGCCTTTTCATAAACTTACCCTTTCAAACACAATTTTTCGTGCTATAATAGATTGTAGCTAGATATAAACTACTTAGTTTTCAACAAAAACCTTATTTAATAGTAAATTTCAAATATTTTAAATATATTTTGAATAGGAACTTATAACTTTTTTACCATCTGCAAAACTGACGAAGTGGCAACCATCTAAAGGAGAAATCTGCTGACACGGAAAAATCTAAATTCCGCAGATTGCTGCGCTACGGGCTACAACTACAGAAAAACTCTGCGGCGTTGAGTTTTCATTTACATGGCGCTTTGGTAGACAGATCGTGTCAGCTGACTCGGGTTTACGTACCGGTAGGTCTACGTTCTTGACTAATTTCAGCTTAAGCATTTCATCATTCGGGCGCAGATTTTAAAATGTAGCTACCATTCATTAAGTAGTAGGCATACATGTTTGTCTTTGGGGTATTTGAGTCTAACATGGTTCATTTCAAGAACTCTTTATTTATGTACAATTTTTTTTTCTTATTTTCCTAAACCACTTAACATCTATGCTTCCAACTGAACTTATCCTTAGACATATCTAGTGATTTGCGTATGGAATTCCGAAAGGCATACTTGCAATTGGCTAAAAGAGGGGCGTTCCGTTGGCAACACCGCCCAGCAGTAAGCCATTATGGTAAATCTATAAGCAAAAAAAGAAGCAGAAACAAACAAAAAGTCAAATTGAGTAAGGAGTGTCAGTCTTAAACAAAACAAAAGCACTGGCTAAGTTTTGATTAAACAAAAATATCTGTTTGTATACGGTTGCCAGACGTACTGATTTTATCAGTACAGTACTGCTTTTTCAACTCTTGTACGGATTTTATTCATTTCTTCAATCAGTACGCTAATGTCCTGATTTTTCAAAATTTGTACTGATTTGTACTGAATTTTCAATTGAAACAAAATACTTTAGGATTTTCTTAAGGTTTTTACATAATGGTGGAACCCTCTTAAACTGTACTGTAAAAAGTAAGAAAATAATTTAATTACAGTTGACATGTTTCAGATAATGTTTGATATGCCCAAGAAATTAATACAACGAAAAGATCAATCGCTTTATGGGCATATCGCCGGGTCGCTACGTACCAGTTGCTATAATATGATGGAGATTAAATTATTTAAAAAGAAGACTGACGTTTTTTTGTCGAGTCTTGCTAGTTATCTCGAAAATAACTTTCAGTTAAATAACAAAAAATTTGAGTATTCGAATGGCTTTTGCCTATAACTTACAATTCTTTTTTCACAATTTGCTGACATTATAAAAGAGTTTTGCATAGAAGACATAGAGTTAGATACTCTTTTTAGCGAATTCTTAGTCTTTCAAAGTTTTTGCGTAGTTGAATAAATTACTTTAAGCCATGAGGGATTATAGATGAAGTCCTTAAATAGTGGTACTTTTCCACAGTTTGAAAAAATATATAATATTTTTTTCAATACCACACAAACGAAGCAGCTGAGAGGATCTTAAGTATAAAGTTTGCTTCCTGACGCAAAGAGAGAAACCCGCTTCTAATTAAATTTTTTTAAAGTGAACTTTATATTAAAAGTAATTTTAAAATTAAATGAACTCTTTGATTATTTAAACACTGAAGATGGAAATGATCTCATTATTGCTATTCAAAAATGTCATAAATATAAAATAATTTATTGGCTTCTGTGTATAATGATGTGTACACTCATGTTAAAATGAATGACACTTTTATTTTTTAATGAACTATATTTAATTTATATACCAAAATATTGTAAAATAAGTACTCTGGCGTTTTAAAGTATTATCTTACATTCATAATTTTTCTTTGAATACAAATTTTCTGAAAAGTACTGATTTTTACCTCGCTTTTATTAGCTCGGGATGTAACTATGTAATATTGATGGGCCTAAAAGATGCAGCGATTTCCATTCTCAAGTTACATACCTGATGACAGTACGAATGGGAATTGCTTTAAACTTCCGTTCTTAAAGTAACCTGATGACAGTACGAATGGAAATTTTAATAGCGCGGCTTTATTTTTTTTAATTTATTTTAGCATGAAAAAGTTATCGCGCATAAAAAATCTGGCAACCCTATGTTTGTAATACTCCTAAAAACTTTTACTTACAATTCATCTGGACAGTTGTAGGGCTGTGCCAGGCGGTAACCGTCTTTCAAGTAGTGCTCCATTTCGTAGGGATCGATCTCGGCATAAGGCAGTTTACCCAGTGTGCACATCTCCCACATGAGGACGCCGAAAGACCACACATCGCTTCCCTCATTAAAGTGCTTCTTTTGTATGGTTTCAAGAGACATCCATTTAATGGGCCGATTCTCACCGTCACCCAAGCAGTTGTAATCATTTGGGAAGAGGTCGCGACTTAGGGAGCTATCGGTTAGCTTTACGCGAAGTTGGTCGTCAATGCTGAAGAAGAAACAAGAAGCATATTTTAAATATACAATACATTTGAGTGAAAATTGCTGAGGTGGTGAAATTTCAAAAGCAATGAATAGTGCAATAAGTATTAACATTCTTAACTTGAGTATTCGCCTAAATCGATATAGATATAGACAAAAGTATACAAAATGATCAGAATTAAAAGAGAAATCGATTAAGCGGTGACTGTCTGTTCGTCCGTCCGTCTGTGCACACGAAAACTCGAGTAGAAATTGAGATATCTTAACGAAACTTGGTACGTGCACTTCTTTCGGGCGTAGGACAGATGGTATTGAAAATGGGCAAAATCGATAATAACCACGCCTACCTCCCATATAACGGTAATTTTCAGAAATACGAAAACTACGATATTTTAGTAACTACTGAAGATTATTCACTCAAATTGATATTTAAAATAATTTTTATATGAAAAATGAGAATATTATAAATATTTGGAAAATGGGCGTAGTCACGCCCACTTATGGTTGCATGTGTAATCGCTGCACCAATTTCTTCCAAGCTTAGCACAATTGTTGGCCTTGGTACAGCATACCAAATGGCCGAAAATTTTTAAAATCGGACAATAACCACGTCCACATTCCATATATGTAACTGTAATTTAGAGAAATATGAAATCTTCGATAAATCAGTAAATATTAAAGCCAATTTATTCAAAATTGATGCTGCAACAATTCTTTGCCAAGAAATACGTTTCTGATAAAATTTTGGAAAATGGGCGTGGCGTCGCCCACTTATGATACCTATATATCTCGGTAACCGTTCTACTAATTTGTACCAAACTCGGTATGGTTATTGTGCTTGCCACATAAAAGCAAAACATTGAAAATTATTGAAATTATTCATATAACGGTAAATTTCAGAAATGCTTGAAACTTCAATATTTCGAAATTTAAGGACGCTAATTTACTCAAAATTGATGCACCCTGGCTTACCACGTAGCGGTAACTTTCGGAAAGGTGAAAAACATATATGTATGTATTTAATACGTGCGCCGGGTATTTAATGTTCGGCTCCACCCGAACTTAGAATTTTTTACTTGTTTACTATTTATTTTATTATTTTTTAATTTTAGTTTTTTAATAAAAATATAGTTTATTTTTTAACTAAATCCGAAAATCCAAGCTTCAAACTTTGTGCAATATTAAAAAAAAAACACCAAACTTTCGTAAAATTGTCTATGTCTTTAATAAGATTTTGATTATCGAGGGCTTATATTCAAGATCCCCTATCTGCAATTTTTACAAAAACTACTTAGTAATGTTAGAACCCATCTGGCACTTATTTACCTGTCATCACTGATGTTAATTCTGACTTTGCAATTTAATAGTTAATTCTTCTGTCAAACTTTATAGAGGTGTGTACAGTAATTTTTCCAGTAATGAATTACAGCTAGAGTCAAAATTGAGCGCAAAATTGAGAAGAAGAGAAAACTAGCAGAAAAAGTTATTGAACACAAAACTAGTAAAAACTTGCAAGTGAACAGTTGTTGCCAGCGTTGCCACTAACCATTTTTTACCCTACCAATTTTCTTCCCAAATCCGACCAAAACCGTTTACAACCTACCAAATAAATTTCAATTACAAAAAAGCATTCATTCATTTAAGATTAAATGTTTCGAATACAAAACATTTACATACATGCATATATGTACTTTGTACATTAAAAAAAAATAAATGCAGGTACAGTCTTAGGCGCAGAGATGAGATCATTTAACATTTTTTTCATTGTATGAATTATATACATATGTACATGTTATGTAACAATAAGTTTAATTTCTTAAAAGTAAATTTAAAACAATTAATTACTCATGCAAATCTTTAGCAGCTGACCACATATGGTGCGGGTCATTTTTGTTTACAAATTCCTTGCATAACATTATGATATTGATACTATCAATCTTAAGTTTAATTCTTCGTTTAGTTTTTATCAAAAAAAGCGTTGAAAATTTGCGTTCTGCAGCCGCAGAGCTATGTGGTAATGAAATTATATTAAAAACAAAATTGGCGAGATGCATGCAGTTATTTTGTTTCATTCCATTTTTCTAGTGAAAGCCATCGTGTTTGATATATGCTCAAGATTTAGTGGGGTTTTACCGAACAGTAGTCCTGAAATTCCTTCAGTTCACGTATCCCCTTTGGACTGTGAGAAAAGAAACTGTATATGTTGCGGCACAGTGTCTCAATGCTTTTCGGTTATTTTTTACAAGCGTAGCTTGAGCAAAGCTCAAGTGAGTGACATGTGCACTTTATATAAAATAAATCGGTTTCTGCACTCAATAAAGTTTTCAGCCCGCCCAAGTCTCCAACCATAACATTGGCTCCATCAGTGGCGAAACCAATTAGGTTTCTTATTTTTAAAGGCAGGATTGGCAAATGTTTGAAAGATACGATTGGCAAATATTTGTATGCAAAATGATGTTTGAAATATATATTTTTATAATTAAGAATTTATAAACTTAATACAACTACCCGACCAAAATCTTACTTTGCCTACCAACCTACCAAATGAAAAAGAAGCGACCAACTTTGGTCGGAAAAGACCAACAGTGGCAACACTGGTTGTTGCAGTGTTTTGACACATCTTTACAATTTATAAATCAGTTTTAAACTTCTTGCTATACACATAAGCACTTACATAGTCCAGTACATCATTCATATTTTGATTTCCACTCATTTTACTTTTGTTTACGCTTAAATAATTCAACAAATGGCGGCTTTTGACATTTATTCTTGTTCTTCTTCTGCTAGCTAATTTCTGCTAGTAAAAATTTTACTAGCAAGAACTAGCAGCTCTCCAGTGTTCTTACGCTCTCGATTCAGTGTTCTCTTGCAAATTTTTTGGGTTATTATAAACTTTTCCAGTAAAAATTTGCAGGTTCCGGTACAAATTAGTACGGAGTTTTTGTTACTATACACACCTAAGGTCAGCAATATAAAAGACTTTTAATTATCTTTCCATCAATATCCATACATTGGAAATTGGTTCAAAACTTTTCAAAATATAAGCTTACGAAAATCTTGAAAATTCCACGTTCATCCTCCCTAGCACCGCTCCTATGAATTTGCACAAAAAAAAATATATTCCATTAAAATAATGGCACGCCGGCCATGCTCACTTTTTCTTTTTTTTAGCTCAACGGACCCTATTCTTTACTTGTGCCCAAAATTACATTAATACCAATGTCACTTAAGAAAACGTGAGGCAAAATCTAAACTCAACAGATCGCTAATTTTTTACAAGTTCTGCTAATTTCTAGGCAATGGAATACAGTGAAACCCGTTTAAGTACCTAACCCGCTTAAGTAACCAACATTTATGGGCACCGTGAATATTTTAATGTAATCCGAAGAAAATCCCTCTCTTAAGTACCTCCCCGCTTATTTACTCAACCCGCCTAAGTACCTAAATTTTGCGTATCCCATTTACCATTTTACTTATAATTTCCCCCTTTTAAGTACTCCCGCAACACGTTCGGCAAAAAAAATCTAAAAATTCAACGGTAATTTTTAGCCAGTTGAAACTTGCTAATAATTTCACTTCTGAGAAAAAAATTTGAGATTTTGATGAATTTTTTTTTCAGTGTTCTACTAAATTTTAGGTTTAACGGCTGTTTGCAGCTCTCAAGAAAAATCACAAGAAATATTTTTCATTATTTCTGTGGGTTGAAAAAGTAGCTTGCTTTTGTTTCCAGCTTTCAAGAAAAACGAAAAATTCATATAAAATGACGCACAAGAAATGGAAAAGAAATTTTCTTCTACCAAAATTTCTTAAATCAGATTGCAGCTCTCAAGAGCTGCAAACAGCCCTCTATATGGTATTTTTTAGGAAGTGAATTCGGTCCGAAATGATAGATATGTCCAACATTGTATTTATGTATTCATACGTATAACCAATGTCTTTCAAGAATTGAATTCTTGTAAAAATTACATAACATTGCTTTATCGATTTTCGATAAAGCTTTTGTTTATATGTTTAAATAATGCTACGATCTTGGTTTTAAACTACGTATACTTCATTGAATGTTCATGTTTTATTCGAGGATTTTTTAATGTAAGTTAATAAGAAGATGTAACTACATCAATAATTATGTTCGTTTAAGTACCCTCATCGAGGTACTTAAGCGGGTTCTTTTAAGTACCCAACCCGCCTAAGTACCTCAAAAAGGTGACATTTTTCGTGAGGTACTTAAGTGGGTTTTACTTTACATACAAAATGCATTCAACAGATTTTCACTTGACAGTTTGAAATTTATGCGAAGTTATGCGAAGTATGCATAATCAGCCATAAGTTTTGACCGGCGCACAGTGGGGTAATTGATGTCGATATTGCGCATTAATTCAAAAAATGAATTTCAAAATACAAAGAAGGGTTTAGTACAAAATGAAAGTAGACAAAATTCTACATCACTGTGTAATCAAATATTTGCCCAAAAATTTACCGTGTTCTTGCAATATACTCTTAGAGTAGTCAGTTTTTACTTTGAGTGTGCGCAAAGTGAAAAACGTAATTTAAAGATATATCAAAAACATATTCCATATGTGTGCGTAAGTACATAGAAAGTAATAACAAAAATAAACATAATTATTACATTTAAGTCAATAAACTACATAAATCTATAGATTCATTACATAAAAAACTGGGAAATTGTCGATTGACGTAAGTTTTTTTATTTTTTTCAGTGTCAGTACTGTTATCATCAATAGTTTCCACGTCTTCATCAGTAACAAAATCCAACCAGAAATCTAAGTTTTCGTTCCATGTTATATTATCTATTGTTGTAAATTCATCAGAATTTGAATTATATTCTCCAAGGATTTTTGCTAATTCAAATAACGAACCCCAACCACTGCGCAAACCAAACTAAATATGTGCATGAAAATCACATTTTATGCGGGAAGTCCCCTTTTTCCATTTAGTAAGTATGTATGTAGGTAACTGCTCACTCACATTTTCTATATTTTGTCCGCG